TACTACTACTACTACGACTACTATTACGAATACTACTACTACTACTACTACTACTACTACTACTACTACTACTACTACGACTACTACTACTACTACTACTAATACTACTACTACTACTACGACTACTACTACTACTTCTACTACTACTACTACTAATAATAATAATAATTATAATAATTAAAATAATAATAATAATAATAATAATAATAATAATAATAATAATAATAATGATAATGCTCTTCCCTGCCCCCTTTCCTCCTCGTCCTCAGCCCCCTCTCTCTACCTCCTCTCCCTCCTGCCCTTCCCCGACATCCACACTCAGCACGCCAGCAGCTGCGCGAGAACCACCGCGGCAGCCAAGCCCGCGCTGGGGAGGGCGGACGGCGCGCCATTCAGGTCCTGCGGCGTAGTGGTCGCCGTGGTGGCCGTTATCTGGGAGGGCGTCCACTACACTCAGGTCGGGCATGTCCCCCATACAGGCGGATTTCGGAAGAACAATGAAAAATAGAAAACAGTAAACTACTCCTTCTGTAGAGGGACATGCCCGACTTAAAACTACACACCTGTGCCAATCCTTTGGCCCGTGCGAAGTGGGCGCGGAGAAAGTGTGCTCGATGCCCACCAGCAAAAATGTGGTCCAAAACCGACAGCGGCCGCTGCGGGGCAGGCGACGTTCTCGAATGAACAACGTCCGCGGCGACACTGACGGCGAGCCGTGCTCAGAGTGGGCTGGAACTGCCGTCGGTCTTTGACGCCACTCTCTCCGCACCCAGCTCGATCCTCCAGAATCCTGGCCTGGCCGATCCTGGGCGCGTGACGGCCCTCCCTTCTTGGCGGCCAGGAGGTCCCACACACGCCGATGCCGGGCCCAGGACTAGGTCGGGCATGTCCTCCTACAGCCCGACTTGAAGCCTGGGAGCGGCCTGGGGTCAGGACCCGGCGCAGGGAGAGTACAATTTTGGGCCCGCCCGGCGGGCGCGCCGTGGTCCCCGTGGTGCTGGTCTGCGTGTGCGTGCAGCCCGTGCAGGTGGAGGTGGTGGCCGTGGTGCTCGTGACGGAGGTCCTGGTGACCTCGGCGGAGATTCGCAGCGCATCGGAGCAAGAACAACCAAAAAACCAACAATATGACGTTTCGCCGCTCTCGGGGCCCTCGCCTGGCGACCCTTCCGGAGGAAGAGATAGCCCCCCAAGGAATCCCAGCTAGCCCCGGGAGGCCCCCCGACTAGTCTGGGCCGGTCTGAACTCCCTGGCGCCGCCTCCGGCGGCGCCCCTGGGGCGCTCCGCATCCCAAGGTTGAGGTGTTGAGGCCGCTCCAAACTTCTCTGGGGGACCAGTGAGGCCAGCCAAGACTTCCTTGGGGGCGGGGTTGTCCCAGGGGACACCGTGTTGGGTGGTTTGTGGGCAAGGAAGGGGGGGGACCCTAAGTGGACCAACGAGGAGGAGGATGCAATCCAGGCCAAGTTGGGGCTCTTTCTCGAGGAGAACCTGTTGAGCAGGCATCCTTGTTTCTCCAATTGACGACGTCCTCGGCGACACCGACAGCGCGCCCTGTTCAAAATGGGCAAAAACTAATGTTGATAATCGTCCCCATTTTTTCCGCACCCATGCCGATCGCACCGAATTGTAGCTGGTCTGAAGAGGAGGGGGAGGAAGCGAAATTCAGTCCTCCGCATCGTGGTAACCCCTTCGTGGGACTCCCTCGCTTTGCTCCTAGTAGTTATCCTTTGCATTTTGGCCTTCGGGATCGGGGGACTCCCTCGTGGTCACCCCTTCGTGGGAACTCCAAAAATGTGCGGTGACAGACCGTGAGGTAACCTCGGATTCCCCAACGACCTGCCCGCACGGTCCGTTTTTGGAACCTGAGAGGCCCCAGTTTCCCGCGACATAATCGGAGAGCAACCCAAGCCCCAAAGCCGTGCGGTCACCCTGAATTCCCACTGACTCACCACACGGAAAGATTTGGGGGCCCCCGAATTGCACGCACGCCGCTGGAAAACGGGTCAACATGGACGCCGCGACAGACTGAGGGAAGGTTTTGACCGGAGTGTGGTCGGGAACCTCTGCGGAGGAGCTCGGAGTGGCATGAAAAAAACATAATCAGGTCGGGCATGTCCTCCTAGAGGCGCATTTCGGGATGAATAGAAATAGTCGAACATAGCCAAAAATAGTCAGATCAGAATCGAAACATCGTCCCCATATTCTTTTTGACTATTCTTGAATATTCCTTCTGTAGAGAGACATGCCCGACGTAAAACGTAGGGGGAGAATGCCCCAACCAACACGTTCGGGCGGTTAGACGCAAGGGAGGAGCTCCCGCACCTGCAAACCGCGGCGGCCTGGTCCAACGTGTGCCAGTTTGCTACCTGGGAGATCCCCCGCCTCGTGACACCGCGACGAAGGACGGCTGCACACCGCAGCCGCCAGAGCCTACGGCAGGAGCTCGACCTCAAGAAACCGTCTACAAGAAACCCAACCTCGAAGCCCCAGGACGTCCATCGATTGTTGGTGTGGGAACGTCACGCTTTCCATGGCAAAACCATCGAAGGCCAAGAAGCCCAGGGCACCCAGGAGGCAAACAAGGTGTTTCTTGGCACGGGCCCCCAGTGTGCCGGTGCTCCCTGGATACCCCCAGTGTTGGTGGTCGCTCGGAGCGAAACAAAAAAATCTCCAGGAGGGGGAGGAGTGCGAGAGCAAGATGACAGACGATCTGTCGGATATGGCGGACTCAAAGCGAAAGAATTGATTTGGACGCGTATATCCCGCTGGGAGTTTCTGGAGGCCTCCGGAGTGGGGAAGAGGGGGGAAGCGCTTGCGGCGGGCAGTGCTGGGCGAGGCGAGGGGGGGGGCACTCTGAGAAGGCTCGGCTCTCTTATGGGGAATCATAGAGGCCTCCTAGATGGGGTCGGAATAGATGGGTGCGAAGATCGCGCCGCATCGCTGGTACATCGGCGATGCATCGGCGATGCATCGGCGATGCATCGGCGATGCACCGGCGATGCATCGTCGACGTCGGCGACGCATAGGCGACGTCGACGTGAAGAAGTCGGGCCCCACATCGAGCCGCATCGGCGATGCATTGGCGATGCGACGCGATCCTCCGACCCCATCTACTCCGAACCCGTATAGAAGGCCTAGATCTCAGGGGGTCTTCCTTCGCTTCTGAGGTAGCTGGGCCCCGGTGCCGCCATGGACAGCTTGTGGCCTCCCGTCGCCGCCGTCGCCCGTCGATGCCGTCGCTGCCCGTCGCCGCCGCCCGTCGCCGCCGTCGCCCATCGCCGTCGCCCACCGCGGTCGCCCGTCGCCCCCGTGGCCCATCGCCGTCGCCCGTCGCCACCGTGACTGGGCCCCGGTGCCGCCCCGGCCGGCTCGTGGCCGCCCGTCGCCGCCCGGTGCCGCCGCCGTGCGTCGCCGCCGTCGCTGCCCGTCGCCGCCGTCCTGCGCTTTGCGATGGCACCACCCAGATTGCACCGCATGGATAACAAGCAATCCATGTTTGGGGGTCCACGCGGGCTGGCATCATCTGGGTCCCTTGGCCTCACGCGTCGCGCCCCGCGATGCGCGGTTGCGTGAGAGGGTTGTTTCACTCGTGGCCATAGCGAATGTCGCAGGGGGGGAAGGGGGGACATAACGCAACGCCCCCCCCCCCCGCCTGGGGAAAGCCAAAGGCACCCATACAGCTACTCCCCAGACCTCACCGGGAGGCGCATTCTAACCGGAATTTCGAAGCGAATCCAGCGGTGGCAACGAGGGCCTCCCAAGAGACCCAAAAAACATAGGACAACCAGACAAGGGTAACGGCATGGGTACCTTCTCCTCCTCTGACCTCCCTCCCACCGCAGTGCCCCCCATGCACCACCGCAGCGCTCGCGCGCACCTCAGCCTTGTTGCAAGATTTGGCCGCAGCGCCTGCGCGCACCATAATCTAACCATCGCTCAGACGTGCTTTCCCCGTGCATTTGTCGGTTTCGTGCGTTATTAATTGTTCGCAAGATGACCCAGGATGCTCTTCGATGGTCCTCGCTGGGACAATATGCACATGTCCGAGCGATGCCAAGCAGTATGCCCGCGAGCACCGCGCGTGAGTGACACCACCAGACGGCGAGGCGAGAGGGCAAATCCTCCACAACCGCCTGTTGCTGCGAGCACCACGATTTTTCTCGCCAGACCCTGAGTAGCCTGAGACCGCCACAACGCGCCTTTGAGCACAGCATTGTGCGCGCGGCCACCAGATGAGCGACGAAACGAAACGTGTCTTACGCGAGCTGGCATGGCGACCTTACGCGGCGGCTTACGCAAAGCGCCAGCGCGTAACGCTAGATTGGAGACGAGGGCGCTCACGCGCGACCTTGCGCAAGCAGCTTACGCGCCAATGTCGGTGAAGACGACCCTGTTGTTTTGCGTCGACCAGGTGGCGACGGAAGCCGGGCCCAAGCACGACCGCAACAAAAATGGACTTCGAGCGCCGCATGTGCGAAGAGATGCTTAGGAACTTAGGAGGGGCTTGAACAAACATGCATCGCAGCCTGGGATGCTTAAGCATAAATTGGTTAAGCTCATCTGGTCCAACGCTCTTCTTGAGCAGGGCTCCGCGCACGTTAAAAAGACCACCGCCTCCCGCGGATCGTCAAACCCGTGCCATTGCGCAGCAAGATACATGTCTGGGGCCTCCAGGTCCAACACACACACACACACACACACACACACACACACACACACGCACGCACACACGGTGCTGACCACTGTGTCAGCACTCGACCGAGGACTCTGATGCCTGCAGCAGAGGAGGACAACGAGGAACATGGGGGAGAAGGGGGAAGGCGAGGACAAGGACCAGGACGACTGCGAGAAGGAGCAGCAAGACAAGGAGACGAGGAGGGATAGGACAACGAGGACGACGACGACAACCAGAACGGCGAACGACGACGACGACGACGACGACGACGCCAGGGACGAAATCACAAGGACGACAAAGGACGACGAAGGACGACGACGAGGACGACGACGAGGACGACGAGCAGGAGGACGAGGGGGAGGGGGAGGAGCAGAACGAGAATTTTGGGAGCAGGACAAGGGGAATGCGGGTCATGGAAGGATGGGGCGAACGACGAAGAGGAAACGGACGAGGACCGAAACGACGACGACGGCGGCGACGGCGGTGGCAGCGGTGGCGGCGCCATCTTCGAGACAGTCGCGCACAAGGGCGCATTATCGGAGGCCACAGCGGACAAGTCTTGCAGAAAGAAGTGATGCAATCAGCCGCAAAATAGATGATCCAAATTCCCGCGCCCGGCGGCGTCGAGGAACACCGCAGCAGTGGCCGGTGAGCCCTTCACAGTGGCGCCGTGCTCGTGAGCACCACGCTGTGCTCGCGACCGCCAAGCGGCCAGGAAAACACCATCACCAGCAGTGCTCCACCGCCACATGTGAACAGCACGTCGGACCCTTCACCGGCCAGAGCCACAGAAGCCTGCGATCGCCGCGGCATCTCCGCGAGCACGGGCACCCAGCCTGTGAGCACCACCTGCAAGCACTGCTATAGCCAGCGAGCAGCACAGCAACCTGCAAGCAAAACGCCGGCGTCATGACGGCACCTTGCTACGAGGCCGCGGTGCACGTGTGCGCTGCGGCAGTGCCAGGGGCACACTGCGGGGAAGGGGGGGCATTAGGCCAGGGGGGGAGGAGGGGAACATTACGAGAGCCGAGGTCCGAGCCTGAAAAAATACTCTCTATCCGCGCCCCCGTGTCACCCCTTCAGAAGGGCAACCGCTCTGGCCAAAGACGTGACCAGATCCAGGAGACGTTCGAAATCCGCTCGCACGCGTCGCGCGTTCACCAAGGGATCGTCATCAGCATAGACATCAAAGCCACAAGACCAGACCCCAACCCGCACGAGCATCAGAGCGCGAAGCATCCCACTGGACCAGCGAGAATACAAAGTCCCTCGTCGAGACGCGAAGCGCGGCTGTCTTAGAATCTTCGCACCCCTGTAGATGACCTAGCTTCTAAAAGGCTTCTGAGAAGGTGTCGTCAGACGACAGGATGGCATCTCTGAGAGGGTGTGCGCATCGGTTGACCGATCTTTACAATTCAAAAAACTGCTTTTCTAAATTCAGAAAACTGTCTTTTGAATTCAAAAAAACCATCTCGACATTGGCGTGGCCCTGGCCCTGGCCCTGGCCCACCTCGGCGGGGATATATATCTATATATATTTATATATATATATATATATATATACATACATACATACATACATACATACATGCATGCTAACATACATATAAGCATATACATATATACATACATACATACATACATACATACATACATACATACATACATACATACATACATACATACATACATACATACATACATACATACATACATACATACATACATACATACATACATATATAAATCCCTGGCCCTGCGGGCTTCGTGGGACCTAACCCCACCTGGGAGAGTTGGCTGGTGGGGCTGTGGCCCAGTAGGAGATGGGATACATTACACGACGCTGGGGGTGGGCGCACTTCTTGAAGGACCGCCCCAGTTTCACGACGCTGAAGGTGGGCGCATTTCTTGAAAGAACGCCCGCACCACCCGCGCCCCGCGCCGCCCCCTCTTCTGCAGCGTCGCCGGCGACCGTGGTCTGGGTACGCGAGGTGCTTGTGCTGGTGATTCCGTACTTCTCGAGGTTGTACCTGGAAGAACAGCGAACTGCACTTATGTAGGCATGTATGTACGTATATGGATGCAAAAATTCACACATAGAAACTTCGAGAGGATCAGTTTGGCATTTCAAATATCGCATGAACGAATCGCACCAGCACATGCTTGGCTGTCTTATTGAATATCCTGCTGCCTAGGGGGCCATCTGGGAAAACCTAAAAGTACCGATACCTCTACTCCACGGACCTCTCCCAGGGAACGGTCTGACCAGAACCTCGAGGCGAATCCAGCGGTGGCGACAAAGGCCTCTCTAGAGGTCCAAACGGGGGAGAACTGGGCAAGGGGTAGCGGTATGGGTACCTTTTTCCTCCTCTGACTGCACGGTTTCACCTGGGGCCGTACGCGACCCGAGGAGAGGAGGAGGAGGAGGAAAAGGTGGAGGAGGGGGAGGGTGAGGAGGAGATGGAGGAGGTGGAGGAGGAGGAGGAGGAGGGATGAAGAGGAGGAGGAGGAGGAGGAGGAGGAGGAGGAGGACGGGTCGCCTCAGCCGAGCCCTTCGGAGAAACCCTCTGCCCCAGACCGCGAACTTCTCTTGACGAAGCGGCGGCGACGGACGCAACGCCACAATGCAACACAGCCCCGAGAGAAAGGGCCCCGCGCGCTGGCGAGGATCGCGGCCGCTGCCCTGCGCGCTCTCCAGCAGCCGGGGCGAGGACAAGGCAGGCCATAAACAGGTGCTGTTGTATTTTTCTCGTGGAGACAATATCTGCTACAAGGTGCCACGCGACGACGCGGCTCGACGCCAGTCGGTCGAAACACAGAACAAGTCGAGAGCCGTGCGACTAGGACGGCTCCCGCTCAAGACATCCCGAAAGAGACGGGCCAACGAGGGGGGGACGAGAGAAGAGAGGCTTGAGCATAGATTATGGCAACAAGGAGACATCACCCGAAGCAATACCCCTCACCTTCCCGCGCAAGCACACACAGGTGCTGCTGTACTTTTCTCGTGGAGACAATATCTGCTACAAGGTGCCACGCGTCGACGCGACTCGACGCCAGTCGATCGAAACACAGAGCAAGTCGAGAGCCGTGCGACTAGGACGGCCCCCGCTCAAGACATCCCAAACCCGAAGAGGGCTACCCGAGCCCTGAAGGTTCCCAGGGACGGGCGGGACAGGGCACCAAAAAGCGAGACAAAGACGAGCCAAAAACACACAGCGCTGGCGGGGCAGAAGGCCGGCGTCAGCCAGACACTAGGGAGGCAATGCGATCACGCTCATGGGACAACAGCGTTTGGACCATGGCTTTACACAAGCTGGGGGGGTAAGAAGCTGCTATTGCCGTCCATTTTACACCAGACGGAGCAGCCCCTTCCAGTACGAAGTGTCTTCTACCAGTGCGACTGCACACCCCCGAGCTCCCTTTGCACCTTCGATCGAATTTCAGTGCATCGGACGCGTCAATGAAAAAGAATGCAAGCTTTGTGCGTTTACGCCAACAACGTCCGAAGTGACACTGGTCGAAAGTCCTAGTGTGGCCATGGAACCTTCTGAGGAGATCAATGAGCTCGGGGGTATGCCAAATTCTCGAATTCACGGGATGCTCTAGAATCGTTGGAACCTGACATTTACACAGCACACGTAAAAGCTGTAGAGCACACCGAAAGATATTGTTGCCGCGCTCTAAGCGCTCACACTGACGCTTTGTCAACTCGTTAGCATCGAGACCCCACGGCTGCTCTTTCGAACGGATAGGGCCGTCTTTGCCCCTGTCCGCCGCTCCACCCCAGGCATCGCACGGTGGGCCCATGACCGCACCTATCACTTCCTTCCGTTTGACTGCCGCAGTCACACATTTGATCACTCCAGGCACCGTCAAGTCCTCGCTGGGACCATGGGCCCGATCATACGCATCAGCATTGCAACCTTGCTGGACAGCGGCCCGCGCGACGCCACCAGTCCCCGCATAAAGGTCGAGGATGTAACGACTCTTGAAATGCCCCGCCAAAGGGGCGCCACGCCGTGCGGTCTGCCGGGGGGCATGTCCTCGAGCGCTGCTCCGCATGCCTCCAGCAGCTGGGATCTCCTGTCTGGGAGCAGCTCCCAACTCCTCGCCAACCTGACGTCCTCGTCGTACCGCTGGACACTCATGATGCTTCCACCCTGTCCGCGACGCTGGGCCTCCGGCCCCGTCCGACGCTGCCCGAAGATGTCGATCGACGGTCCCACGTGCCGCCTCGGGTGCTGCACTATCGTCTCTGTGGTGCTCGGCTCGTCCCGCGAAAAGTTCGGCTTCCGGGGGCTCTGGAGATACGTGAACGCCCGAACCACCTCGTCCTTCGGCCCATCGGCCATCACTCTCTGGACGGGCCTTATGAACCGCAAGAGCGGCAAGTCCCTCTCGATGCTGACGTCGCTGCGGGCGGCACTGCTCCGCTCGATCCGCTGCGAGAGGGAGAACAGCAGGCTCCAGGAAAGGGAGATGCCACCTGCAGGCGCAATCGTACCACGCGCCTTGAGACTCATCAGCTTGATCGGCCTCCAGCGGCTGCCCAGCGAGACCGACCACAGGACCGAGGCCTGCAGAGGGAAGAGGCCAGCCAACATCCTGGCCACTCCAGCCCACACCGTCAGAGACCAGCTGCGCCAGCTGCGGCCGGGGGCCCCCTGCCGCCAGCCCCTCCGGCAGCGGCAGGCCCGGGGGAGCCCGCAGCGGCCAGCCCTCGAGAGCTCCGCCGTCGAAAACATCAGGCCTGCAAGGATCTGAATGCCCTCGCTGGCGCCCCGGCTCATGAAGAGGAGCAAACTGAGGTACCCAATTCGCATGCCGTCGACCAGCTCGCCGTGCACTCGCGGGCGCTCTCCCTCCGAAGAGTCGAAGCCCGCCGACCGGCTCCGGCATCGCCCCAGCACCTCCAGCGCCACCGAGCTCTCGCTGGGGGAGCGGTGGGCGCCCCTGGCCGCGGCCGTCAGGACGGTGATCACCTGCTCTCGTCCTCTCTGGCGGCCCGTACGCTTCCGCGCTGCTCCCAGCGCGGCGCCAGGCCCTGGCCTCCCCTCGCCGCTGGCGCTGCTGCTCTCGCCGACGTCTGCCAGCCTGGGCGCGGGCCTCAGGCGATCCTCGCTGTCGGAGGGGGCCCTTCCGCAGCGCCTGCCACTCAGCCTGCCGCGCAGCGCCGGCTGGGCGCCTGGTGGCCGCAAGGTGGCCTTCCTCTGGCTGGCCAGCGTCTCGAGCCCCAGCTGGCCCTCGCTCGGCCGAGCCTCCGACGACGGCAGCATCGCCCACCGCCTGCGGCGGCCCATCGCCTCTCTGGCTCGTGAAATCTGGATGATCACAGAAAGTACGCGGTAAGCATGGAGGCGAAATGTCTACGTAACGGGAGAGAGGAGAGACAGAAGCAGCAGCAGCTACTTTACACAGGTTCGGGGATTGCGGGCATTTCGAAGTCCCCTTTAAGTTGTTGCCTTTGACACTCAAAAACGAAGGAACATCATCCACTAACGTCTTACTGGCGCTGCTATTCTCAAAATTCCTGGCACCCTTATCCGAGAAGTTCAATTCGGAAGGGATCCAGCGCATAGCCCCTAAGACATTCCTGGCCAAGTAGCAAGCCTGGAAGACGCGAATCTGAAAAAGAAGCAGAAAGTTTTTGGCGCGACTACGGCCGAAGGCGAGGGTGACCGACATATTGTCACACAACAAAAGCTGCCTCATATCACACACTCGCGAGCTAGTTACAACACGAATGAAACCCTTTGACAAGAGCACGAGCCTCCTTCACCAGAATTCCCTCAGAACGTTGCCACTTTTGCACTCTCACCAGTCGCCACAAAGCTGACTTCAGAAGATTAGCGGGCACCTCGGGAGAAGACTGATCCACTTCCCAGTCTGACGCCTCCTCGGAAGCACCACTCTCTTCATCAAACCCTTCGGCGGCTGCGACTGTCCAGCTTCCGTCCGCCTGCCGAGGGAAGCCCGCCGTCTCGAGGGCGCTCTCTCGAGCCCGATTGGAGCCCACTCGGCGGAAGCGTTGGCGCTCAAAGGAGGGACCCACCTCGCGTACGGCCTGCAAAGGCCAGAGCGCCTGCGCCACCGCGTACCCCTCAAGGCTGCTGTCGGTCTGGACCACCAGGTCGTTCCAGCTTCGGAGCCAGTCACTGAACATGAAGATCATTAGCGACCTGAAGGCCTGTAATTCGGAGCGGCACTCGTCCCACAGCGGCTCTGCCCGTCCTGAGGCGCGGCCCCGCTCCACGAAGGCATACACCGAATGGAAAACACTGAGCAGGCCTCGGCAGCACAAGGCGGCAAACGCGCAGCGCCCCAAGACGACCTCGAGCGCCCACGCGCTGGCCCGCCGGCGCCGCAGCAGCGCACCCAAAGCCTGGTATATGTTCCAGAATCGCTTGGGCGTGACGCGCGTCCGCAGCGCCGCCCCGTCGAGCTCCGTGCCGAGCGCGACGATGCCGCCGCGCGAGCGCTCCGACTTGTGCAGCAGCAGCCCCTCGCGGTTGAAGCCCTCCTCCAGCTGCTCGAGCGCGTCGCCAACTGCGGCCTCACAGACGCCTATCACTCCGAGGTTGTCTACATGCACATAGTGGCTGAGCGTGTTGCATTCCTCCCCCAGGGCAGGTCTCACCACCAGCGGCGGTCCGCGATCGTGCAGAGGGGGTCCAGGCAGAGAGGGCGTCACCTTGGTCACGGTGGTCTCGTTGATCATCTGAGCGATCCATAGGCTCCACGTGAAGCCCATGGGGAGCACAGCCCAGCACGGCGCCACTGCCTCCGCGCGGCCAAGAACACGCCCGTTAACCTCCGCGCCCGCCGCGCCCATCACGTGAGCCGGCGCAGGAGGGAGGCAGAAATAATCAGACAGCCAAGCTGGCACGCGCAACCTGCGGAAACAGTTCGAGCGTCCGAGAGGCCGATCGAGAGGCAGAAGTCCTCCAACAACTTTGCGGCCTGTTCGGGCCCCAGCGGCGCGCTAGCGGGCAGCTCCACCTCTATTCTCGACAGGCCCTCCGAACTCAGG